ATTTAATAATATATAAAAATTATATAAAAAAATCACTATATCAGTAACCTTGATTTTTAGTGTTATTATATCCTGACTAACATTAAAATTAGCCAATATATGTGTTCACATATTTTCTATTTTCCAGTACTTCTCTGGACTGTAACTTCTTCCATTGGATAATTGCTTAAAAAGGTAAAAACCTCTTACCAGAGGCTGGGGCAAGACTCAAGCAAAATGGGATTCAGATTGTACAATCTAAAGCCCATCTACTGATCTAACCTGTTAAGAATTTCTTCACCCAGAAATTCCCGCCCCAATCCCATAACCTAGTAGCTGAATTCCAGATTCCAGTATTATCCCACAACCCCTGTCACTTGATTTCTAGAAGGTGGCACTTGGGTCACTCTCATGGCCACTTTGACCAACTATCCTACGAAACAGAGAAGATTTTCCAGTTGGATCTAGCTGCAGATATTATTAAGATCGGAGATCGCTAAAGCTTTGACTGGTTATTTATCTGGAAGCAATTACATCATCGCTGATGCTGTGCATTCAACATCTGACTTGGTAATGTATGAAATTTCATGATCCTCGAAGGCATGGGTTTAGATGATAAATTATGCCGAAGGTGAGATGGCCTACAGTGGAAAAGGAATGTTTTTCAATAAAACTTTGTTTACGTGCCCTCTATTTTACCAACCTTAATGTGACTTAATGGTTAAAAGTCACATTGTTTTTATTGATTCAAAATCGAGTCAAATCAAATTTCTTTGTGTAAATAAAAACTTTTTCAACGCTGATTTTATTTGAAAATTTTGAATTTGAGATTTTATGTATAAAAATTAAACTTTTTAATTACATTTTAACCAACGGCTCGTTGGTATCTACTGCTTTAATTGTATTCATGAATATTTTAGGTGCAATTAGAATAATGAAATAAAAAACTTAAATTCATAATTAAGGCAAAAAAAAGTCTTTCTATCATTAATCTAAATTCAAATACTTCATACAATGTAGTTATAAAAAGAAAATAAAAAATCAATAAATGAAAATCATTACACAGAATCACAAAACATTTGTATTTTATCTCCATCCAAACAAACTCTCATTTTACAGAACAATAAACTCAATTGCAGGCATTAACGGAGCTAGAAATTACAAGCAAAGCGAGTAAAGAATATGTATATATCTGAGATCTGATGAATCTTTGAAGCTTAATCCAACAAATGAACAAGCTTGACCTTTCTTTCAATTAAAACATGAATTGAAGATTACTGGATCTGATCAGTCTTAAATTCTGTTCCCATCGTCGAAATTCTTGGAGTAATTCAGAGAATCGTACCTGTAAGTTTGAGGGAGCCCGACTTTATCGGATCGGACGAGTTTCTTCATCTCCGATCGCACCTTGTAGAAGACATGTCTCCAGCTGCCTTTGCTGTGGCAACCGAGCACTCTGGTTTCTTCCTCGTTCATTTCCAGATCTCTAGCGAAGGTAGGCTTTCGGGAGAGGATCCAAGAGCAGCCCCAGTCCCACCATTTCCTAATGGAATTGGTGGCATACTCTCCCATGGAGGAGAGGGACTTAGATCTGTGAAACGACGCTGCCCAGGAAGTCGCCGGCGATGAGATTGGCTGCATTTTGAGGGAGAAAGAGGAGAGCCTCCTCCGTAGACCGCTGCCTTGTTGTAGCTGATCAGATCTGGAATCTACTTGGGAGACTGGAAGCGAGGTGTTCCTTTGGAAGCTCTCAATGATGGAACTCATGGTTGAGGGTTAGCACAGAACCTTGAAATCTCTCCCTCCCCACCCCGCGTAAAAAGAAAACGACGGAAATGCAAGAGGAAGATGAAATGTCGGTGTTCGGTTGACAGCTCTGTCACAGGCTGTTTTATTT